TACCCCTTCACTACAGGAGGCTAACCCCCCTTCCCACCCCCCCCAACAGACCTTGGCCTTCTCTCAAATCCCAACCTCTCTCTCTCCTGCCCTTGACCTTACCAACCCACTGGAAGCCATATTCTGTTCTGACCTCAAGCAGAGCCTTTGCCTTCCTAAGAAGGCACATAGTAGGTGGACAGGGATTGGTTTGGCTAGCAAAGAGGCAGGAATCTACAAACATGTTCTTTATCTTTGATTGAAATTACTGACTTTGGGCAAGTTACTTCTTAGACATCTTAGTTGACTATCTCTAAAATATGAGTGAGGATACCAACTTCAGGTGGTGTTATGAAGCAAATGAGAGCACCCTAGCTAGTTTGGCTCAGTGGATAGAGCATCGGCCTGTGGACCAAAGGGTCCTGAGTTCAATTCCCAGTCTGGGCACATGCCTGGGTTGCGGGCTTAATCCCAGTAAGGGGTATGCAGGAGGCAGACGATCAATGATTCTTTCTCCTTGTTTATGTTTCTGTCCCTTCCTCTCCCTTCCTCTCTGAAATCAATAAAAATATGTTTTAAAAAAAGAAGTGAATGAGAGATAACAACGAGTGTTGGAAAGGACGTGGAATAATTGGACCACTCAGACATTGCTGGTGGGAATGTAAGATGGTGCAGCCACTTTGGAAAACAGGTTGGCAGGTCTTCAAAAACTTAAACAAAGAGTTACCATACGACCCAGCTATTCCACTTCTAGCTGAAAACCCAAGAGAACTAAACACATATGTCCATTTGAAAATGTGTATACAAATGTTCACAGCAGCGTTAGTCACAAAAACCCAAAAGTGGAAACAACACAAATGTCCATTGACTGATAATAGATAAACAAAATATGATATATCCATACAATAGCATATTACTCAGCACTCATTCATGCTACAGCATGGATGAATCTGGAAGACATTGTGCTAAGTGAAAGAAGCCAGACACGAAGGCCACATGCTGTATAACTACTTATATAAAAAGTCCAAACAGCAAATCCATAGAGACAGAAGGCGGGTTAGTGGTAGCCTAAGCATGGGAAAGGGGAAGAATGGAGAGTAGACTGCCAATGGACACAGGGTGATGTGATAGCAGGAATGGTTGGCATTTAATAGTGGTAATGGTTGCACAGTTTTGTAATATGCTTTATAAAAACCACGGACTTGTGCGCTTTAAATGGTGACTTCTATGGAATGTGAGTTGTAGCTCAATGAAAAGGACACTAAGAAGTGAAGGAGAGCAGCGACGGTCAGCGAGCACCGTCTCTGCTGAGGGGGCGGGTGCTGTTTCTCACTCCCCCTCCTTGGACACTGTGTGCTGGGGGCGGGGTGCACGGGCCTTCTGCTCACCCTGCTCCCCCTTCCTGCAGCTCGCATTGCCAAGGACACCTCGGATCTGCTTCAGCGCGTGACATTCCAGTCCAGCAACTTCGAAAACATCCTGACTTGGGACAGCGGGCTGGAGAGCGCCCCAGACACAGTCTACAGCGTCGAGTATAAGACGTAGGCTTCCCACCCAACACGACCTCTTCTGACTCTGCTCTGAAACCAGCCCCTCCAAGAAAACACCAGAGGGAGGATGAAATAATGGTTAAAAGTATGGGTCTGGCTTGAATGCCAGCCCTCACCTATATAACCTTGGACAACTGGGTAACCACACCAAGCCTCAGTTTCCCCATCCATAAAGTAAGAATAGCGATAGTGCCTTCATCATACGGTTGTTAGGTGGGTAGTCATGGGCACTGGTGCCCCGCAAATAATTGCTTTATTATTGTTGGTGAGACTAAGCCAACACAAACTTGTGCCCACCCCTTTGCACCTATGCCCTCGGTCCCCCACAGGGAAGGCAGGCTGGCATGGGCTCAGGGGTCTGCAAACCCAGCTTTCATTCCTGGTCCTGCCACTTCATCCTGTGGCAACTCACTCCCCCTCTCTGAGCCTCAGTTCCCTCATCTGTAAAGTGGGGTAATAGCGCCTACCTCGAAGGGTGATGGTGACAATGAGCCCAGAATGTGGACTCAGACTGGCTGGGTTCAAATTCTGGCCCCCCGAGGCATGCTTCACACACCTGGGCATAATTTACTCCTAAGCCTCAGCTTCCTTATTTGAAAAGGAGCGAGAATAATGTCTGAATCTCACAGGATCAATGTGAGGACTAACAAATCATCCACATAAAAGGCCTGGAACACAGAACATGCTGAGTAAATATTAGATATCGTTATCATTCTTAATAAACCGCAGGCCTGACACCAGGCCTATTCATGCACGGTGTGCTCGGCCCCTCCCTGGCCTGCAGGTACGGAGAGGTAGGGTGGCTGGCAAAGAAGGGCTGCCAGCGGATCACCCGGAAATTCTGCAACCTGACCACGGAGACGGGCAGCCTCGAGAAGCTCTACTACGCCAGGGTGACCGCCACCAGCGCGGGAGGCCGGTCAGCCACCAAGATGACCGACCGGTTCAGCCCTCGGCAACACAGTGAGTAGGAGCCGCTCTTATTACGGGGGGAGGGAAGGGGGGCGGGGGCAGAAGGGCTCAGCGGATCACCCGGAAATTCTGCAACCTGACCACGGAGACGGGCAGCCTCGAGAAGCTCTACTACGCCAGGGTGACCGCCACCAGCGCGGGAGGCCGGTCAGCCACCAAGATGACCGACCGGTTCAGCCCTCGGCAACACAGTGAGTAGGAGCCGCTCTTATTACGGGGGGAGGGAAGGGGGGCGGGGGCAGAAGGGCTCTGCCTTCTCCATCCCACACCCCCTGGTTCAGGCCACCTTCATCTTTGCTCGACTACACGCCAGGCCTCTGAACTGTTCCCCTTCCCCCCCTCCCCCCACCACACACACACACACACACACACACTCCTCCTTTGACTCTGTTCCAATCCTGAGTCTGATCTCAGCTCCCACATCACCTCCTATGCGAGCATCCCCACTCCCTGTCGCCAACCTGATTTCACAAGGTCACCACCTGGTATTCTTTATCAAAATTAGCTGTTCATCGTCTCCATAGCTCATAGCCCAGTCTTCAATCCCTTTTTGCTTACCTGTGTATCGCTGGCCTCCACCGCTGACACGTGAGCGCCGTGAGGGCGTGTGTGGGTGTGGAATTCACCGTATGCCCAGACTTTAGCATGGTGCCTGGCACATAGGAGATGCTCCATTTGTAACTGATGAAAGAAGGAAGGAATAAATGAAGGAAGGAAGGAAGGAAGGAATATGCATTGCCTAATTCCCCACACTAGTTATGCAGGTGATAATGTTCACTAACTCCACAACCACATGTGGGGTTTTTTTAAGAAAATAAAAAAGTAAACAAGCTATTTTATTCTTTTCTTGTCTTGTTCAATTATAGAAATACACAAAGAAACATAACAGTAGCCCCAAATAATCTGAACATTTAAACACAACTGTATCTACTCCTTTGTAATCTGGCCGTTTGTTTTTCATGTAGTGGTATCCTGGGCATTTATTTGCTCATGCCCATTAAATATTTTTTCATAGCATGATATTTCACTGCTAAAAATGGTCCATTCTAGGCCTGGTGTTGCTCAGTGGTTGAGGGTCAACCTATGAACCAGGAGGTCACAGTTTGATTCCCAGTTAGGACACATGCCTGGGTTGTGGGCTCGATCCCCAGTGGGAAGCGTGCAGGAGGCAGCCAATCAATGGTTCTCTGTCATCATTGATGTTTCTATCTCTGTCTTTCTCTTCCTTCCTCTCTGAAATCAATAAAAAAAAAAATACACTTTTTAAAAAGGATCCATTCTATACAGGTACCCTAACTTACTTCCCTAATTCACTTTTGAAGACATTTAGCTCAGTTTTTCAGTTTTATAAACACTGAAGTGAACATTCTTTTGGCTCAGATGTTTTTGATCCTGGAGATCAATGGACCCTTGAGGGCTTTCATAAATTAGCTTTAGGGGTGGGGCTCATGAATCCCTGAAATTGAGGGCAAGATTTTTGCATATGTACATTGTAGAGGAGAGGTGAACCATCGCATTCATTCAATTGCCAAAGGGGTCTGTAAACCAGTCAAGGTCATTTGGCTGTTTAGAAAGTCTGTCTGAAGAAAGACTAAACTCTTAGGCCTGGCCATTGAGCTGAATCAATAATATCGGGCACCCCAAACATGTCGTTGAACCATCATCAGTCCCTAAAGCTGTCTGCCAGGAGGCTAGGGGGAAGGGCGCTCCAGGCAGACTCAAGGTGGGTGAAGGGCCCAGGATGTAGGGGGGCTGAGCCAAAGGCATGATCAACCACCTAGGGGCCAGTGTCCCTCTCCCTGAGATCTTCCTACTCGCTCTTGGTCACCCCTTTGCCATCCTTAAACCCAAACACCGGTTGCTTGCAGAACTTCTCTTTTCTCGCCTGTTTGGGCGTCAACCTCTGAGGCAGGAGGTCACACAGAGCTGGGGCTGGCGTGGGAGGAGCAGGGAAGCAGTCCTTTCCCGTGGTCCAGGGCAGCCTCACGCACTACTGGCTGGTTCCGATCTCTTTCTTTTCTTTCCTCTCTCTCCCTTTTCCAAGCTACCATCAAGCCACCTGATGTGACCTGTATCCCCACGGTGAGATCCATCCAGATGATTGTCCATCCCACCTCCACGCCCGTCCAGGCCGAGGACGGCCACCGGCGGACCCTGGAGGACATCTTCTCTGACCTGTTGTACCGCTTAGACCTCCACATCAACCAAACCTACCAAATGGTAAATAAATGGCAACTGCATGTGCCACCCTGGTCCTTCCCTGCCTGGGAAACCCACTCCCTCAGTTAGATCTGCATTGCTTTAAGTAGGAAGGAGATGTATTACATAAATTAGCATTTCCCAACACATGTCCCCAGCCTCTCCCAAGTGGAGTCACATACACAAGCGCATGCTAAAGTCTCTGACAAGTCCTGCGCACCCAAGACCCCAGTTCCAATTTGTGTTTGACACAACTTCTCCCAGATGTATTTGACCTTTTATTTTGTACAATATTGGTTTTCTTAATTTTTTGCCTAATGTCTTCTAACATTCTGGGGAACAACCTCTATTAACATCCTCAGGTGTCCACTTCAGGAAATTTCTTCTGGCTGGTTCTCCACTATTTGTGGGAACTGGATACAGGCAGTGTCTTAAGATCTGTAATAATGAGAGATGGAAGGCAAGGGCATGAATTGTCAAACAATATACAAGTGATTTCCTTTTGTATTCAGAAAATATGTGGTATTTCCCCCCAGTATGTGCCACTAACTCATAATTCCATTGACTATTTCTGCACTCAAGGTAGTGGTGGTGATGGTGGTGGTGGTCATGGTAGTGGTGGTAGCAGTGATGGTGGTGGTCATGATAGTGGTGATGGTGGTGGTGGTGGTGATGGTGGTCATGGTAGTGGTGGTAGCAGTGATGGTGGTGGTCATGATAGTGGTGATGGTGGTGGTGGTGGTGGTGGTGGATGTTATAGTGGTGATGATGGTGGTTGTGGTAATGGTGATTATTGTAGTGGTGGTAGCAGTGATGGTGGTGGTGATGGTGGTGGTTGTTATAGTGGTGATGATGGTGGTAGTGGTAGCAGTGATGGTGATGATGCTGGTGGTTGTGGTCATGGTAGTGGTAGTAGCAGTGATGGTGGTGGTGATGGTGGTGGTGGTGGTGGTGGTGGTAGCAGTGATGGTGGTGGTGATGGTGGTGGTTGTTATAGTGGTGATGATGGTGGTAGTGGTAGCAGTGATGGTGATGGTGATGATGCTGGTGGTGGTGGTGGTCATGGTAGTGGTGGTAACAGCAGCTAGTATGTACTGAGTGCTTACTATGTACCAGACACTCTTCTAAGTGAGAGTACGTGGGGCTTGGTGACTGACTAGATTTGGGGATAAAGCAGGAGGCAGGTGGATGGGATTGGAGCCCTGCAGACTGACCGCCCATTTCTGGTTTGGGAACTGGTGGTGCCCTTGCACTGAGTGCAGTAACCCAGGCAGAGGTGTGAGAGGTGTAGGTGACCTGGGCTCCGTGTGGAGGTCGGGGTATAAGAGGAGTCACTCTGGGTTCTCTGCCAATTTCAGCACCTTCAAGGCAAGCAGAGAGAATACGAGTTCATTGGCCTGACCCCCGACACAGAGTTCCTTGGGACCATCACAATTGTCGTTCCAATCTACTCCAAAGAGAGTGCCCCCTACACGTGCCGCGTGAGGACCCTGCCAGGTGAGTGTGGCTGAGCGGAGGGAGGTGGGACGCCCGAGTTCAAGTCTGGACTGTGCGCTTTCCTCCCTGTAACCGAGGCGAGGCTGGGCAGTGCTCTCAGAAACTGCGAAGGGTGATTATTAAAGTCAATCTTTGCTTATCCACAAACGCAGTAGCTGATGGGTTATCATAGCACATGTTTAATCTCCACCCTCCAGCCTGGGTCCGGATTTCCTCTCTCTGGCCTGCCTAGGGTGCACCCCGGCAAAGCAACTGCACCTTAATATTAACCCAGGTGACAGACACTGGGAGATTATCTGTAGGGGGGGAGCAGAGGAGATAAAAAGATCCCTCAATATCTCCCGGGGTCAAATAATAACAAGAGCAATGAGAGCTAGCACCTGTGCGGTGCTAACCAGGGACCAGGCACGACTGAGCGCAACCCTGTCATCACCCTCATTGGACAGATGAGGAGGCAGGGTCAGAGTGGTTCAGTGACGTGCCCGAGATCACACAGGTGGTGAGGGATAGAACCGGGCCTCATGCTGGAGGCCACACCCTCCCCGTTGTGCTGCTGCAGAAATAGCTTTGAGTCACTGGCTGGGTGAGCTGGTCCCGTGCTCTCTTCCTCTGGCACCTTGGAACTCGACTCTCTTCATGAGCAGGGTGACGTTTTTTATTGGTGTTTATTTTCACAGACAGATGGGAATGTAATGCTCAGAGCAGCGAGTTTGGAGGGTGAAAGGGATAGCAGTGGGTTGGATTTGGAGAGCCGGACTCCACCTTAGGCATCTGGTTTAGATGGATGAGGTCAGCCGGTGAGTTCTGTCCTAATGAGCAGAGGAAAGGCGGCTGTGCGCGTGGGCCCTCGGGTATAACTGCAGCCGGGATCGGTGCTAGTCCTCCGTTTTGTTCGGAAACCCAACTCATCAGTTGCCCCAAGAGCCCACAGGAGACGGCTTTCTCCACGGCAGTGCATTCGTGTCGGGGGAAGACTGCCCGGTGGGACAGCCAGCACTGGCCACGTGCCCGGGGCAGGCCCTCCCTGGGGACAGGGCCACTCAGGAGACCAGAATAGAATTTGGCAAGAGGAAAACTAGAGAAAGGAAACCAGTGTTCCAGGCGCTAAGCTGGGAGCGTATAGATGGCCGGTGACCCTCTCCCCCGGCCCAAACTAGACAAATCCCCCCTATTCCTGCCCCCCCCCCCGCCCCACCCTGCTTTTTGACAACCGGCGGACCACTCCTCCCGCATCCTTCCATTGGCTTGTTCTTTCTTAACCTAGCTCAGTGGTTCTCAACCTTCCTAATGCCGCGACCCTTTAATACAGTTCCTCATGTTGTGGTGACCCCCAATTTCATTGTTACAAACTGAACATAATTAAAGCATAGTGATTAATCACGAAAACAATATGTAATTATATATGTGTTTTCCGATGGTCTTAGGCCACCCCTGTGAAAGGGTCGTTCGACCCCCAAAGGGGTCGCGACCCACAGGTTGAGAACCGCTGATTCTAGCTCATGATGTGATGCCGCTTTTATATAAATCACACTTCTTGTTGGCTATTTCCTGCTGGCATATAGAAGGCACTGTATTCTCGAAAATAAAGTATGTTAATAACAATTCCTACCATTTATTAAATGCCTACTCTATTGCCAAGCACTGTGTTAAATGCTTTACCTACATGATCCCATTTGGTTTGTATAACAATCCTGCAAGTTGGGTAGCCTCATCCCCATTTCACAGAGGAGGGACTCTGGCTCAGAGAGGTTAAGCAACTTGAAGGTGACCACACAGCTGGTCAGCAAGCCTCATTAGGTTCATCTGATCCTGAAGCCTGAGCTCTAACCACCCCTTTGCTATTTTGTTTATAGCTAATCGCCCCCACTGCCCTCTTATTCCCCTTCCTGCCATTTCAGAGTGATACGTCCTGCTCTTGACCCTGTCTCCTGGGGCCTGTCTTATCCCCAGAGCCTAGAATCTCCACTGGATCTACCTCTCAGGATATCTGGGACGGTCACAGAGCAACATCCTAGTATCTTGATGCTGGAAAGGACTCTAGGGGTCACCTCACTCTATGCCTAACTTTTACAGATGAGGAAACTGAGGCATCCTGATATTGGGTCTATGAGGATGAGCTTTGGAGTTACGCATGTCCATTCTGACTTTCCCACTGAATTGCTGGGTGACCTTGGTCAGGTCGCTTACCCTCTCTGAGACTCAGCTTCATTCGATGTAAGCAGGGCGTGTCCCTGGCTTTCTGTGTCTGATGAGGTGACATAAGTAGAGCACCCACACAGGGCAAGGCACATCTTAAGAATTCAGTAATCATTGGCTGCTGTCATTCATATGTGGTAGAGCAGAGGGGTTGTGCAACAGAGAGGAGGATGTGCAACAGAGAGGAGGATCTGGGGCTGAGCCAGACATCTAACCCGCCACTCGCGAGCTTCTATTATTTCTTCCTGTCTCCTCGTGGGTGAAATGGCACATGGAAAGTTCCGTGTCCCTGTCCTGTCCTGGCACAAGGACAGTGGTTTTCCATGAGGTCTGTCACGTACAGTCGGGTCGTATCTTCTCCCTGGAGCATGCTGGGAATGTCGTGTGGCAGGGGCAGGGTATGGCCGGAGCTCAGGGCCGGGGGAGGAGCAAGGGGTGGGCTAGACGTCGAGGCTCCGGTCCACAGCGTTCACGGTGACTGCCAAGGTCATGGGCAGCTGGTGCGCAGCAACTCCAGCTGAAGCCACCGGGCGGGGAACAGGAGGGTGCTTTGGGGAGTCAAGACCCCTGGATAACACCAATCCCCAGTTTTAAACAAAAAGCTCCAATGACTTCTTCCTCCCCAGCCCCTCACCAGTCCCCCCTGGGTTGGTGACAGGAAGTGTGACAGGCCTGGCTGAGCCCATCCCAGAGCCCAGAGCCGGGACCACCGGGAGAGGGAGCACACGAAAGCCCTCAGGCGTCTGTTTCCTTCCCTTTTAGAAAGGGCAGTGCCTCCTGAGCAAGGTGGCCCCCGATACCCAGGCCTTTGCTTGGAAGGGAGGGGGGAGGACAGCCCCTCCTCTTGTCACTCCCCCCGCCACACCCCTGCCAGGGAGGCAGGCTGTCCTCAGAGCAGGGAGAGAGGGGGTGCTTCAGAAGGCCCCCCCCAGTCCTGGCTCTGGCTCTGCGTGACCCTCCCACAAGATGAGGGGTCCTTAGGTTCAAGGGGACAAGTCCTCCTGGCGCCTGTGACCGCCCTTCTAGGCCACAGCTGAGTACCACGAACCCCGAAATCCCCAATGGAAATGCCCCGCCTGTGTCCACTCCGGGCAGATCTCTCGAGTCCTTCCTCCTAAGGCAGTGGTTCTCAACCTTCCTAATGCCGCGACCCTTTAATACAGTTCCTCATGTTGTGGTGACCCCCAACCATAAAATTATTTTCGTTGCTACTTCATAACTGTCATTTTGCTACTGTTATGAATCGTCATGTAAATATCTGATATACAGGATGTATTTTCATTGTTACAAATTGAACATAATTAAAGCATAGTGATTAATCACAAAAACAATATGTAATTATATATGTGTTTTCCGATGGTCTTAGGCGACCCCTGTGAAAGGGTCGTTCAACCCCCAAAGGGGTCGCGACCCACAGGTTGAGAACCGCTGTCCTAAGGGGAGACACTCCGTGGGCGTGCACCCACTCCAGAGGGTGCCCGTAGCTGGCTATTGATTGGGGGCCTGGATGAGCTCGGCCACGTAGGCTGGGGCCACGTGCGAGGCCCTGGCATTGTGAGCTGCAGCCGGTGGGCAGGGGCCTGGCACAGTTCCCCAAGGAGCCTGAGAACAGAATTCAAACCAGGCCTCCCAGCTTGTTATGAAAAGCACATCTGTCAAGGTGGGAGCATAGGCCATATTTACAAACAGCGAGAAACGGGATTGACAAATTCTGAATGTTTAGATGGGGTGGGGCGGGGGCGGGGAGGGAAAGGAGGAGGAGACTCTTTCTTTGTGCTCTTGCCACCCTTCCAGTAGCAGCGGCTCCCAGGCCAGGTCTGAGGAGGGAGGGGAAACCCTCGGATGGACCCACCCTCCCGGCCTCACCCTCCCTGTTCTGGCCTCTTTGCTCACGCAGACCGGACATGGACCTACTCCTTCTCCGGGGCCTTCCTGTTCTCCATGGGCTTCCTGGTCGCAGGGCTTTGTTACCTGAGCTACAGATACGTCACCAAGCCGCCTCAGCCTCCCCACTCCCTGGTGAGCACCCACCTGGCGCAGGAGGGGGAGGTGTGGGAGGACCCCCAGCAGCCGAGGGCGTAGGCCCAGGGAGCCCTGGCTCTCCCTGAAGTGCAGGGGTCAGCGCACAAAGCAGAAAGCCAGGCCTCGGTTCTCCCTCCGACATGAAGAGCTTGGCCAGATGGGCTGGGGCGTCCTAGCCATGCCAGGCCCCTGGCCCTGTGAGAGGCCAGGCTTGGCAGGGGCGCCTGAAGGATGGGAGTCGGGAAGAGCGGGCTTGGAAGAAAGAACCACGCGGCCTGGAGCATCCACGTCCAGGCAGGCGGAGTGGGACCCGAGAGCAGGCCCCTGCAGGGCCGCAGAGCGGTGGGCACTGGGGGTCCCCGAGCTCAGCCCTGTCTCAACGGCAGCCAGTTCCACCCCCTGGGAGCACAGGCCAGATCTTAGCATATTTTTTCAAGAGAAGTCAGAATTGCAGATGATAATGCGAAATCTCTCAATTTGCAAGTAAACCACACACGTCCCATTGCAGCCTCCGTCTGGCCACCAGCACTGCGTCCGCTAAAGGCCCTCCCACAGGCCGCAGCCCAGGCCCGGGGCTCAGGGGGGCTCTCGCTCATCTGAGGGGCTCGAGGACAATGCACTCACTGTCACAGCCCAGATGAGCCATTTCCTATGAAACTCTCCTGGTCTCCCCTGTCCCCCATCCCTTCCCACCTTGCCCCCTACATTGGCCCTTAGAAGCCCCTGAGCAAGAAGCAGTGTGGGCCACCACCTCCAGAGCGTACCCCAAGGCCACCCCAAATCTAAGTCATCTATTTCCTGGACTATCTACCTCCCGGAGAAACCGTAGTGGGAACCTCCCTCTGAGAGAGCCCGACCCCGGGAGAGGCCTCAGCTTCAGGCCGGCAGCCCTGCCCTTGTGGGGGGTGGGGGAGGGGCAGCATTTAGCGGAACCTCGGAGAGGCGAAGGGACCTGTGGGATATGCACTTGAAAAGCCCCCGATGGCCTCTGCCTCCCCACGGAGGACCTCACCCCCAGGCGCCCTCGGGAGCTGGGAACGGGTCCTCACGGGGCTGTTGTTGTCCCCGAGCAGGACGTCCAGCGTGTACTGACCTTCCAGCCTCTGCGGTTCATCCAGGAGCACGTGCTGATCCCTGTCCTGGACCTCAGCGGCCCCAGCAGCCTGGCTCAGCCTGTCCAGTACTCCCAAGTCATGGTCTCTGCGCCCAAGGAGCCCCCGGGAGCCCCCCCGCTGCACAGCCGGTCTGAGATCACCTACCTCGGGCAGCCGGACCTCTCCATCCTGCAGCCCCCGCGGGCGGCGCCTCCCCAGGCAGGCTCCCCGCCGTCCTACGCTCCCCAGGCTGCCCCTGAGGTGGGGCCCCCAGCCTACACACCTCAAGTCACCCCCGAGGCTAAAGCCCCATCCTACACTCCGCAGGCCGTCTCTTCCTACGCCCCCCAGGCCGCTCCAGACAGCTGGCCCCCGTCCTATGGGGTGTGCATGGGAGGATCTGGCAAAGACTCCCCTCCGGGGACACCCTCTAGTCCCAGACCCCTCAGGACTGAGGGTCAGCTCCGGAAAGAGCCACCAGCCGCCGACCTCTCCCTGCAGGTGTTGGCTTCCAGGGCCACGGAGGAGCCCCAAGAAGCCAAACCCTTCCCCCAGAGCCTGTGCATTGACCCAGACAGAGCACCCGACATGACTGTGCTGCACAAGGGGGAGCCAGGGACACCGGGGTACCTGAAGGGCCAGCTGCCCCTCCTCTCCTCTGTCCAGATCGAGGGCCACCCGGGGTCCCTCCCTCTGCACACTCCTTCCCTCCCGTGTTGTCCCATGGACCAGGGTTCACGTCCCGGGGGGCTGCTGGAGTCCCTCGTGTGTCCCAAGGACGATGGTCCCGGGTCCGAGCCTGAAGCCACGAGCGCGGCACCTGGGGCCTCAGCCCTGGAGCAGCCCGCAGAGCTGGACTCCCTCTTCAGAGGCCTGGCCCTGACCGTGCAGTGGGAGCCCTGAGTGGACGGCAGGACGGCCTGGGGCTTCCCCCTCACCCCCAGCCCAACCTCACATCCGCTGCCGTCACTCCCAACCCACCATGCCGTGCACACAGCCCACCCGCCTCGGTGGGGGCCCTGAGGGAACCAGAGGAAGGGAGCAGGAAGACACGATGAGGACATCAGATGGGGAGTGATGGGCACGCATCCTGTGCCAATGAGTGTGTGCCAATGAGTGCGTGCGCAGAGCTCTGCAGGAAGGGCGGGACCGTCAGTGCGGGGAGGTAACTAACGCAGGGGCACTTCCAAGGCTGGGGCCCAGCCCCTAGTACGCTGGGCACAAGGTTCTCTAGGAGCCTAGTCTCCTCGCCCCGCTCCGGGTCAGTCTCATAATCTAGTTCGACAGGGAGGGACGTCTGCCTCCTCTGTGACTCCCCCGGTGAGAGAAGGAGCTGGGAAAAGGATGCCTCGTAGCAGGCTGGGCAGAACCAGAACAACCTGCGCTTCTGCCGAGGCGAGAGGTAGCGCCATGGCCAGACTCCAGGGAGGGGTGCGGCCTGGGGCTCATTCCCAACCAGGGCTGCTGCCTGAAGTCGCAGCCTTCCAACTCCACTCCTCAGCTAGAGGCTGCGCCCCCAGGGAAATGCAGGTCCACCGGGGAGGGAGGGCCTTTCCGTGGAGGGAGTTTCAGACCCCATCCTGAGAGCAGGGTTTGGAAGGAAATGGGCCCACGTGGCCCCTGAAGGAGACACAGCCAACACCGGCACTGACTTAACGACTTTGGAAACTCAGCCTTGGGTTCAGCCCATCTGGGTGCAAATTCCAGCCTCACCACTTACCACCCGTATGACTTCAAGCAAATGAATCAGCGCTCAGAACCGCAGTTTCCTCCTTGGTGAATGGGTGTGAGAACCCCTACCTCACGGGTAGTGGTGAGGGTGAAACTAAACAACGTCTGTAAAGTGTGTGAGAGTGTCTGGCTCAGGGCAGTGCCCAATAAATGGTAGCTACTTCCTGTTGTGATTTTTTTTTTAAAACAGACAGCACAGGACCCACTGCCCCAGTTCCAGTTGGCTTCAGACCAGGCATTTTCTCAGATTATCCTGCTTTCCCCGCGATTGCTCCAGGCCAGGCCAGGGAGCTAGTCTGTCTGGTGGAGGAAGCCAGGGATGGAGTCACAGGGCCTCCCGGAAGCAGGGGCCAGGGACAAGTGGAACCTTCTTCCCCAGGTTGTAAGTGGGAGCTGTTTCGGGGTGTCGGCATGCTCAGGTGGCCCCTTTGCGTGGAGCCCCCAGGCCTGCCCCCTCACCCCTACGTCTGCTCACGTAGGGAAAGGGCCTTGCTCTGTGCTTTCGGGGTGTCGGTACACCCTTTGTGCCATTTGCATCTCAAATGAGAAAACTGAGGCCCCGAGCGGAGAAGGGACTCACCCAGGGGCCCCATTGAGCCCATGACGCGGTCGGAGCTCGAACCTAGTGCTTTTTGTTCTCATCAAGAGAAAGGACTTTGCACACCAGTTTGGATTCTCGGAGGATGAGACACAAGGAGGGGAGGGCCCCAATGGGGTCCCCATCCCCTTCCTGTCCCAAAGCCGGATCTGAACATCTCTGAGAAACAGGACCACTGTCCTGCTGCCTCAGTGTGGCCTTCTGCAGTGTGCCGCGCCAGCACGGCCAAGGGTGAACCTGAGGGGGCGGGGGCGCGGTGACGGATTGAGAAAAGACAGACAAGAGAATGAAAGCTGGGTCTGGGTGGGACGCTGTCCTCTCTGATGGAGAGCTAGCGACAGCGCCACAGGCTATAAGCCGTGTCTTTATTTTATAGCAGATTCCACAAGGCAAAGTAAGGGCGTGGTCAAGATGTTTACAACATTCTCGTGGGTTTTGAATCTACTCAATTACATGCACCTGAACTCTATCAAGCCCACATGTCTCAGCCACGTGGGACTGGTTCGGACCATAGGGTCAAGCTTACAACTACGGCCTTTGGCTATAATTGTGCTGGGAGGGCTCTGCCCTTCAAGCTGGGACTTGCATGTGGCTTTGCCATGAGAGGACTGTGCCCTCTCATTAGCCCAAGGCTTGAACCTGTCCAAACACTGTAGCCGCTCTCCACACAGGAGAGAGTACAGTGTCCTCCTTCCCCTGGACACAGATATGCCCTCCCTCCCCTCCCTGCGACAAGCACCAGGTGGTGTTGTTCTTATCTGTTTGCAATTAATATTTAACATTTCAGGGTTGCTGGTTTAGGCCCAATAGCTCCATGAGAGAGGGTGGGCCGCCCTCCCAAGCACCCCAGGCCCATTCTCCTCTTAGCAGCCACTAAGTTGGCGTTAATGAATGCCCCCCCTCTCCCCACTCTGCAAACAAGGCTGCTTCCTGTCACTTGGGATGAACTTGGCCAAAGGGTGTCTGTCTTCACCTTGTTAAGTAATGAACAACAGCTTCACAGCTGGACTGCTCTCACCAGGTGAGTGGGACCGGGCAACACAGAGGAGTTTTTTTATTAAAAGCCATAAACCTCTCTTCCACTTCACAGGGCCACAAGGCTCTCTAAGCTCCTCCGAGTGACACATGTACCAAGGACTCCATGACTCTTGAGGGTGGAGTCTGAGTGCCTGCGGAGGGAGGTGAACGACCGACCGAGTACTGTGACCCCCGTCAGGCTGGACTCCTCCCGGGACAGGCCACAGGTGTCCTAGGCAGGCAGCCCAGGCCTGCAGTTACAGTCACACCACTAGAGGGCAGTGTCCCCGGCCCCCGGAGCAGGGCTGGGAACTGGGCGTTCCTGAGTGACCCAGGCCCTGAACCCATTAGCAGGAATCTCCGAGCTGCCACCTGCCTCCAGGCCCGGCAGAGCCCAGCCCAGGAGGAAAGGAACAGAAGCAGTCGGAGATGGGGAGGAACTCAGGCACGTGGCCCCGCGGTTTCAGTGGGCGATGACTCCTTTTGTATTATTGATATTTGCAAAGGAGGAAATGTTGCTCGGGGAGGTGACTTGCCCAGGTTGTTTCCTAAACTTGCCTCATCCTGAGAATCCCCTGGGAGCTTAATAAAAATACAACTTCCTCAGTCTCCCCGCCCCCCGCCCCACGCGCGCGCACACACACACGCGCACACACACACCTTCCTGCTAAATCCATGGCTCCTGGGGAATCTGGGTTTTTAACAAGCGTTTTTAGCGATTCACCTCAGACATGTTGAGGGAATAGTGCCCTTATACCAACAGTCTCCCTGTCCATGGCCTCGAATCACCTCCCTAGAGTCACCCCTATTATACCCCCCGGATAGGGGTAGGGCTACTTGGGTGGCATTTCAGTCTGTGCTGCCTGCAGACCTGCCGCCTCCCAAGCCCTGGACCCCAGGAACACAGAGGGGTTGGTTGCCTGAGTTTCCAGCCACAGAAGAGGGGCTGAGGGGACTGGAGCTCCTCCCCTCCGGCCCCTCCCAGTCTGAGTGTCAGCCGGGACCAGGAAGCTGTGGCCAGATGTCAACACCAAGGCTTGTCCCCGTTGCTGTCCCTGCCCTGCCTTCCAGAAAGTGGGAGAGACAAAAACCAGCTGAGGCAGGAACGGACGGACAGATACAGACAACCCGGCCTCGCCTGCTGGTGCCGATCTGGCAGGACACAGCTCTGAGGCCCAGCCCCCTGCTCAGCTCCCATGTTCCCTTCCCACTCTGCAGACGGAGGGGCAGGAGGAAGATCCATTTTGACCTGTAAGTGTGAGGAGAACAGTGACCGGGAATAACCTGAAGTGCAGGAATGATCGAGGGAGTGCGGGATAAGGGAGGTCGGGGGGAGAAGCACTGGGCCAGACAGCTCTCCACGTGGCCACAGGAGAGCCGTCAGCTGTCTGGGAAAATGGTGAGGAGGTTCAGGGTGGTTGGTAGGTGAAGTGGGGGTCAAAGGACTGTCCTACATGTCCATAGGCCCAGGGAAGGCAATAGAAGGGAAAAGAAGAAAAGGAAGGGGGAGAAAGAAGGAAATACAGTGGGGCCTTGACTTACGAGTGTCCCGACTAACGAGTTTTTTGAGATACCAGCTGTCTCTCTCCGATTTTTTGCATTGAGTTGACAGAGTAATTTGAGTTAACGAGCTCCTTAACAAGCTCGGTCTCAGAACAAATTAAACTCGTAAGTCAAGGCCCCACTGTACTTTGAAGAGTATTAGCCTTGAGTCACATACTATAGCAGGCATTTTACACATTGTAACCTCATACACATTCTGCAAGATAAGTATTTGTTCATTCATTCATCCATTCATTGTTAAACAAGCAGACACCGAGGGCCCAGCGGTATGCCAGGCACTGTTCCTGGGGTTAAGGATATAGCGAATAAGACAGGCAGGCAAGTTCCCTGTTGTCTTAGATCTTATCTCCAATTTACCCATTAAAAAAACAAAGCCCTTGCCCGGCCAGTGTGGCTTGTGGTTTAGTGTCTACCTATGAACCGGGAGGTCACAGTTGATTTCTGCTCAGGGCACATGCCCGTGTTTCAGGCTCGATCCCCAGTAGGGGGCGTGCAGGAGGCAGCGGATCAATGATTCGCTCTCATCATTGATTTTTCTATCTCTCTCCTTCTCCCTCTCTGAAATCAATAAAAACATATTTGTAAAAAAACAAAAAAACCCCAAAACACAAAAAAACACAAGGCCCAGGTCTGTGAGTGAGTACAGGTACCAGAATTGGGATTTAAAAACCAAGATTTGCATGGCTCCAAGTCTAACCTCTGCTCAGCCTCCTGACCTAAGGGTTGGCTGTGTTCACAATAAGGCACATCAGGGCCTGCCTGTGAGGAGGGGTTTGGTCGGCAGACGGGTGGGTAGGAGAAGGCTCTCAGCGGCCCTGGAGTCATGCAGGTGTCAGTGGGGCTCTCATTAGCAGACACCTGTCTTCTGGGTGCAGGGCCTGTGCTGCAGGCTTCAGGTTTCCTAAATGAATCTTTGCAATCAGATTGCAAGGCAGGAGTCGTTGACCCCACTGCACAGATATGGTTAGCGACTTCCCACGGCCACACAGCTAGCAAGTGGTGGCCCGCCCACCAGGCTGCCTCGGGGGAAGGGTGGCAGGACCAGTCCAAATGCTTGTCTCCTGCTGGATGGGAAGCCCGAGCTCCTCTTTGCTGTGTGTACACCTTCACATCCACCCTCACAGTGAATGTACAGATGTGGGTCTCGGGAAGCCCTTAGGTTGGCTCGATACAAGGTGGGAGAGAGCTGCCAAGTGTTCCCCCCAAAAGATGCTCTTAACACTGCACCAGGGGGAGGGAGAATGCCTAGAAAGGGGCTTTCGGCCTCGCGTCGCTGCCCCGCTGTCTGGCCCCGCGGACTCACGACTGGCGACCCGCTACTGACCAATCTGCCCGGCACTCGTGTGCAGTATGTCTGACTCCTCCAGCATCACCGTCACCGCTATGAAGAAAGCGGTTCAACAGCTCCGGCTATAGGCCGGGCTCACCCGCGAGGTTTCCCAGGCAGCTGCCAATCTGAAACAATTCTGTCTGCAGAATGCTCAACGTGACCCCCTGCTGATGGGAGTGTCTTCAAGTACCAATCCCTTCAGACCCAGAAAGCTTGTTCCTTTCTGTAGTGAAATGAACTGTGAAGGTGTCTAAACCACATTTCTTTTCTTTTTTTCCCCCCCTCTTTTATTTATTTATTATTTTTTATAATATATGTTTATTGATTTCAGGCAGGAAGGGAGAGGGAGAGAGAGATAGAAACATCTATGATGAGAGAGAATCATGGATTGGCTCCCTCCTGCACATCCCCTACTGGGGATCGAGCCCACAACCGGCATGTGCCCTTGACCGGAATCAAACCCGGGACCCTTTGGTCCGCAGGCAGACGCTCCATTCGCTGAGCCAAACCGGTTAGGGCTAAACCACTTTTCTTGAATCAGTGAATATTCAAAGAGAGCTAAAGCTGAAGCCTGTACAAAAAGCTTATTCTATAACATGTGCCATACTATACAAACTTCTGCTTTTGTCAGTCCTTAACATCTACCTCTCTGAATTTTCATGAATTTCTATTTCACAACAATGATTATTTTATACTAGAGGCCTGGTGCATGAAATTCGTGCATGGGGGAGGGGGTCCCTTAGCCTGGCCTGCACCCTCTCCAATCCGGGACCACTGGCTCCTAACTGCTCACCTGCCTGCCTGCCTGATCGCCCCTAACAGCCTCTGCCTGCCAGCCTGATCACTCCCTAACTGCTCTCCTGCCGACCTGATCACCCCCTAACTGCCCTCCCCTGCCAGCCTGATCACCCCCTAACTGCCCTCCCCTGCCAGCCTGATCACCCCCTAACTGCCCTCCCCTGCCAGCCTGATCACCCCCTAACTGCCCTCCCCTGCCAGCCTGATCACCCCCTAACTGCCCTCCCCTGCCAGCCTGATCACCCCCTAACTGCCCTCCCCTGCCAGCCTGATCACCCCCTAACTGCCCTCCCCTGCCAGCCTGATCACCCCCTAACTGCCCTCCCCTGCCAGCCTGATCACCCCCTAACTGCCCTCCCCTGCCAGCCTGATCACCCCCTAACTGCCCTCCCCTGCCAGCCTGATCACCCCCTAACTGCCCTCCCCTGCCAGCCTGATCACCCCCTAACTGCCCTCCCCTGCCAGCCTGATCACCCCCTAACTGCCCTCCCCTGCCAGCCTGATCACCCCCTAACTGCCCTCCCCTGCCAGCCTGATCACCCCCTAACTGCCCTCCCCTGCCAGCCTGATCACCCCCTAACTGCCCTCCCCTGCCAGCCTGATCACCCCCTAACTGCCCTCCCCTGCCAGCCTGATTGTCCCCTAACTGCTCTCCCCTGCTGGCCTGATCACCCCTTACCGCCTCTGCCTTGGCCCCCGCCACCGTGGCTTTGTCTGGAAGGATGTCTGGAATATGTCTGGTCTAATTAGCATATTACCCTTTTATTAATATAGATACACTGGCAGCAGCATACAAATAAAATACTTAGTATAAAAAGTAAAAAAGAAAAGAAAAGAAAGAAATGGGCAGGAAACTGAGATTTTGGCTGAGAAATCACCTGTGTTCTCTCTCTCTCTCTCTCTTTCTCTCTCTCGCTCCCCCCCCCCCCCATGAGAGGCCCCAAGGCACCAGGAAGAGTGACAGGCACAGTGTTGCTGGGCTCCTGAGGCCCCAGGACGGGGCCAGGGACAGCCTTCCCCAGACCCTGTCATCCCCTAGACCTGGCTCAGGGGTACCTCCCCGATCTCCCCTGTTGTAGCTGCCTGTCTCCTTCTAGATGCCTCCACATCATGGTCTTATCTTACTCACATCTGCCTTCTCAGTGGCCACCAGGCCTGGCAAAGGGCAGGTATGACCACTGTGAGGGAAAAGGATTGAGAGGGGGAGGGTGTAGGAAGGTTGGGAGGAAGGGTGCTGAGGAATTTGGACAGTGAAGAAGAGATGGCATCCCCACTCCCTTCTGCCTGTGCCACGTCCCCATACACACATGACTGTGACCACACAGGCGCTGGGTGAGTAGCTGCTGGGGGTGGTAGAGAGACAAGAAGCCACATACCCTGGCTGGCGTGGCTCAGTGGTTGAGCATCAACCTATGAACCAGGAGGTCATGGTTCAATTCCTGTTTAGGGCACATGCCTGGGGTGTGGGCTTGATCCCCAGTACGGGGCGTGCAGGAGGCAGCCGATCAATAATGCTCTCTCATCATTGATGTTTCTGTCTCTCTTTCTCTCTCCCTTCCTCTCTGAAATCAATATATTTAAAAAAAAAAAGCCACATACTTCCATTTTAGCCAGTGATAACTCTGAGCACATGCCTTCCACTGTCTTCATGAAGTGTGGGTGCCCATCTCACTGTCCCCGTTTTTTAGGAGGGAATCAGGTCAGAGGGGCTGGTGTCTTCCCCAAGGCCCTGGTCAGTGGGGGGAGAATTCAGATCAGAACTCCCAGCAGCTGGGAAACTCCCCTGATCCGCTCTCCATACAACCAGCCTGAGCTGTTCCCTCCTTCCACTCTCATGGGGGCTGGAGTTGGGCCGGAGGGACCCAGCCGGGACCCAGCCGGGACCCAGCGGAGCAGGAGGAGCCACCGGGAGGCCGGGTGGGTGGGGACAGCTCCACCTGTTGCCTCTGCCTGAGCAATGCTGGCCGGAGGGAGCAGCCCGTCCCTCACAGTCCCCGTCCATTGTCATCGCTGTCTCAGCTGCTATATTTAAGGCCGTGCAGGCTCCAGGATCGCACTCTCCTCCCGTCCCGCTGAGCCCAGGGCAAGAAGACATCAGGCATCCTCCGCCCTCTGGGATCTCCTCCCCACAGACGCCCAAGTGGACAGGCTGCCGCTGTGAGCACCTCCAGGGACAGGGTGGGAGGGACCCTCCAGGGATCCAGGCCCTCACTTCTCACTGGGAAGTGGGGTGTGGGGTGTGTGTGTGTGTGTGTGTGTGTGTGTGTGATGTGTGCGGGGAGGTGTGTGTGTGTGTGTGTGTGGTATCAGAGGGTGGTGGTGGTAGTGGTGTGTGTGTGTGTATGATGTGTATGATGTGTGGGAGGTGTGTGCGTGTGTGGTGTGTGGGGGGATGTGGGAGGGTATGTGTGTTTGTGTGTGATGTGTGTAATGCATAGTGTGTGTGTGATGTGTGTGGGGCGTGTGGGTGTGTGTGTGTGTGTGGGTGGTGTGTGTGGGGTGGTGTGTGTGTGTGTGTGATGTGTGGGGGGTGTGTGTGGGGGGTGTGTGTGGGGTGTGTGTGGGGGGTGTGTGTGGGGTGTGTGTGGGGGGTGTGTGTGGGGTGTGTGTGGGGGGTGTGTGTGGGGTGTGTGTGGGGGGTGTGTGTGGGGTGTGTGTGGGGGGTGTGTGTGGGGTGTGTGTGGGGGGTGTGTGTGGGGTGTGTGTGGGGGGTGTGTGTGGGGTGTGTGTGGGGGGTGTGTGTGGGGTGTGTGTGGGGGGTGTGTGTGGGGTGTGTGTGGGGGGTGTGTGTGGGGTGTGTGTGGGGGGTGTGTGTGGGGTGTGTGTGGGGGGTGTGTGTGGGGTGTGTGTGGGGGGTGTGTGTGGGGTGTGTGTGGGGGGTGTGTGTGGGGTGTGTGTGGGGGGTGTGTGTGGGGTGTGTGTGGGGGGTGTGTGTGGGGTGTGTGTGGGGGGTGTGTGTGGGGTGTGTGTGGGGGGTGTGTGTGGGGTGTGTGTGGGGGGTGTGTGTGGGGTGTGTGTGGGGGGTGTGTGTGGGGTGTGTGTGGGGGGTGTGTGTGGGGTGTGTGTGGGGGGTGTGTGTGGGGTGTGTGTGGGGGGTGTGTGTGGGGTGTGTGTGGGGGGTGTGTGTGGGGTGTGTGTGGGGGGTGTGTGTGGGGTGTGTGTGGGGGGTGTGTGTGGGGTGTGTGTGGGGGGTGTGTGTGGGGTGTGTGTGGGGGGTGTGTGTGGGGTGTGTGTGGGGGGTGTGTGTGGGGTGTGTGTGGGGGGTGTGTGTGGGGTGTGTGTGGGGGGTGTGTGTGGGGTGTGTGTGGGGGGTGTGTGTGGGGTGTGTGTGGGGGGTGTGTGTGGGGTGTGTGTGGGGGGTGTGTGTGGGGTGTGTGTGGGGGGTGTGTGTGGGGTGTGTGTGGGGGGTGTGTGTGGGGTGTGTGTGGGGGGTGTGTGTGGGGTGTGTGTGGGGGGTGTGTGTGGGGTGTGTGTGGGGGGTGTGTGTGGGGTGTGTGTGGGGGGTGTGTGTGGGGTGTGTGTGGGGGGTGTGTGTGGGGTGTGTGTGGGGGGTGTGTGTGGGGTGTGTGTGGGGGGTGTGTGTGTGTGTGATGTGTGTGGGGTGCTGTGTGTGTGTGTGTGTGTGTGTGGTTTGATGTGTGTGTGCTGGAGAGGAGCTGCCGGGAGATGTGGAAGGAGAGGTAGACATGTGCTTAGGCAGCACCCAGTGAAAGGGGGAGGGGAGCCTAGACATCTCCCTCCACGCCCTGCTGTGCGGTCGGGGTCTTCTGAGCTGAGCCCCTGAGCCCCTGTGATGCGAAAGCTGAGAAACAAAAGGCCCCTGGGGGTGCCTGGGGGTGAGGCGCCTGCATGGCAGGGGCAGGGTGGGCTGCAGGCCCAGCTAACCTAAGCCGTGCCCGGGCCTGCGCGACAGGGAGAGAGAGCCAGCCCGCTGGGCCCAAGCCACAGGCCAGAGGGCGCTCACCCAGCCTGGTTCCCTGGCAGGAAACTGAGGCCCAGACAGGGCAGAAATGGTCTCAGTTGCTCAGCAGCAAGGTCAGAATTCCTGCCTCTTTGACGCTGGTGGGGCAGAAAGACTGACAGGCTGTCTCTGCTCCGCCCACAGGGCCCACACAAAGCTGCACCCCCTGCACCCCCTCCTCCCTCCCCCCAGCACCTCTCTGTCCCTCCTGAGGAAGGGGAGAGGCCGCCTTGCCCCTCAGAGGGCTGTGCAAAAGCAGGCTGAGGCTTGGGAGGCAAGTGGCCACATGGCAGGACCTCTAGCCCCAGCTTTGCCCCCCCCCACCAGAGGGCAGGGGGGTGTTTCTCACCAGCCCTCACCCCACAGACCCCTCCCCACCAGGCACACAGAGCGTCTGGGAAGAGGGCAGGGGAGGCTGTGCTCCTGATGCTTAATCCTGAGCTCAGTCAGCGCTTTAAAAAGAACCGATGGCTCATCCGCTAAAGCGGCGTCTGGTTTCGGGGAGGCCCAGGAGGTCAGGGATGGGGGCCAGGCCCACCCACTGTGCGAACTGGGACGGAGCACGGGGAAGGGAGCCAGCCACTGACGCCAGGGAACGTGAAACCGCAGTGGCTGGGGCCAGGGCCACGGTGTCCCGGGAAAGCCGCCCCCCACCCCCACCCCCAGGGTGGTACCCACAGCTCTCCTCTGGCTGTGAGGAGTAAAGAGCAGGAGACAGCCATTCTCTGGGTGAGGCAGACCCTCTTCCTCGGGGCGACCGGATGGGAACCCACGGGTGCTGTCCTGTTATGTTCAACCGAGGTCAGGGCATGAGGCCGAGGAAGCTTCGGGGCAGCCGTGGCCCCAGCAACACCCCTCAGTGGTCCAGCCTCTCTTGGGGGCTCTTTGTGGACACACAAAAGGAACAAACCGTCAGGAACTGGGAGGCGTCGGTAAGCGCCCACCAGAGGTGGCATTTGGCGCCTGAGCCCCTGACACCCCACACAGGCCTCAGGCCCAGGGTCCCGGGGAGGCCAGTGGGCCTCCTGCCATGAACTTAGAGACGTGGTCACTCAGGTGCCCTGTTCACACCAGATCAGAACACACACACACACACACATACACACACACATACACACATACACACGCCCTGGGCGGGCGGGGCCAGGACCCCCAAAGCTGGGCCTCGTGGAAGCAGGCAGCACCGGGCTGAAGTGTTAGTCTCGTCTGCTTGCTTCTTCCTGTCCAGGTTCTGCATCAGGTCCAAGCCGGGCAAGGACCCTCCCAGGTCAGAGGCCTGCCCCCCAGGACCCCCACCTGGAGAGCGTGTCAAAGCCGTTCAGGGGACTCTCCAAGCATCCCAGAGCCTCGGCCTCAGAGGGGCCTCAGGGGGGCACAGAGCCACCTCTGGGAGGGGACTTAGCACAAGAACCCACAGCAGCGAGTGCGGGGCCTCCTCACCTCCTCTCCAGGGTTCGCTCCCTGATCCCTGAGTCTCTTTCAGACCAATTTGATCCAATCCCACTGGGCACCACCTGGGGCCCAGACCTGAGCCTTGGGAATACAAGGGGGACCCCACTCCCTTGTGACCCCCTTACAAGAAGAAAGGCCATGTGGCCCACTGTGTCCCCAGCCTCGGCCCAGGCCTGGCCCTGAGTAGATGGCGTAGAGGTCGAGAGAGCTGAGTGGGGCAGACCCGGTGCCAGTCGTGGCCCCGCCACCGCCTGCTGAGTGGCCTTGGGCAAGCACGTCCCCTCCTCACAAGTAAAGTGGCTGATGACAGCGCCGCCGTGTGATTTGGATTGTTGCAGGGACCGGGAACGATGCACCTGAAAACTCCTAACACGCGG